AGAGTCTTCTTATACTCTGCAAAACAACGAAGCCCAAAGGCTTCTTCCTCCACCCCAGCCCATTCTATACACATGCAAGTCTGTGCCACCAGCCATGATTTTACCAATAGCCCGTCCCCCCTTCTCAGTTTCCTGCCTCTCCCTGCTTTCAGAACGTGAATGAACTCCCAGAGCTCTCCTAATCCCATTGCTGTGTGGCTGAAGGTAGGAGAGCAAAGCAAACCTATGGAGAGTCAGGAAGGATGCCAGGACAAGCTTCCCCCAAGCAGGCTGAACACTGCTGACCTGGGGCTGTGGATGCTGCCACAAGCACCAGGGTTGCAAAAACATCTCCTGTGCTACCCGGCACGTGCACGGGCACCCACAGCGGCACCTGGCGCTCCTCAGCTGGGCTCTGCAGCTACAGGGCATGACTGACAGCTGTCTGTCAAAGGAGTTAAGGGCTTACCTCAATGAGACAATGCATTATGAAATACGTAATGAAGAAGATCAACACCAGTATCGAAAAAAAGAATCTGTCCTGGGACTCTTGCCTTGCTTTCTGCTGGGACAAAAGCAGACAAGATCAGCAGGGAAGGGAGGATTGCTCCTTCCATTCCCCATTGCCCTGAACAACACATCCTGCAGTGCCCAGCAGCTCTCCTACCTCCCCTGTGTATTCCTTGCCCTCCTCCAAGGCTGTGCGTCTGGAGATCTTCTCTTCCAGAAGACATGGGCTCGTCAGTTCAAAGGCTCCCTCCTTCTCTTGCCTCTTGCTCAGCAGACTTAGAAGCAGCTCAGTCTTTGAAACCATCTTTGCACAGCACAGCTGCAGCCCGGGCAGGCTGCAGTCCATCCTCAGGGCTTCTTCTACCTGGGCCATGAACGTCTGCAGGCCTTCATCTGGCAACAGGTGATGGTAGCCCGTGATTTCAAAGACCTCTTCTGCAAGTGGCAAAGCATCTGTGCCCTCAGGGCCACCTGTCTTGAGGAGCCTGGACCCTTCTTCTTGTTGCTTCCAAGGTGTCTCCATCGTGTCAGGGATGAGGGAGAAGTGCCCACCCTGAGAGGAAGGCTCTCCTTCAGCCCTGGCCTCAGCCCTGATAATTGCAGCGGGGCCGTTGTCAACCAGTGGGTCAGATAGAAAATCCAGGTTCCTGTTTAGACCCAGCTCAGCCTTGGTGTCTGTGCCTGTGGGCTCTCCCTGGGCTATCACAGGGCTCAACGCCTGGTGGAAGAGCGGATTTTGTCCAACCCAGTATTGAGTGTCTCTCTTCTTGCGCTCTTTGTTCGTCCTCATGTTGTCATGCCTTGGAGATGGAGCTACTTCCACATCTTCTTGCTGTCCAAAGTCGGAGTCGACCTCAGTGGGGTTTAACCCACCATCCAGATCCCAGGGGTTTAATGCCTGCCAGTTCAAATGTTCAGCCTGCTGCTTTTGATCTGAGACTACGATTGCCTTTTCCTCCACATCGTTCTCCCTGACAGGCTGGGGCTGGCGTGAATCCTTCAGGCTGCTCCCATCCCCCTCAGTGCCGCTCAGGGTCAGGGAAACCACAAGAGTTACGGTTCCGTGGTCTCCCAGCGAAGGCTCCTTGGGCTTGAGGTTCAATACTGGGCTGCTCTTTGCTTTTTTGGACAGCTCCACTGCCATTACTTCTCCCTGTGTCTGTGCCACAGGACCGGTGTGAGCTGCAGGACACCAAGACAGCAGATCAGTGACTCGGCACAACCACAGGGCAGGGGTTTACCCCGAGCAGCAGGAGCTCCTCTCTGAGACAAGAGAGCGGGTGAGGGGAGTGGTGGATGTGTTGGGGAGGGCAGAAGAGTCCTTAAATCACTCTGATTGTCCCCTCAGGGCAGAACAGGAGATGTTTCTTTCCTGCTGTCTCCCAGGGCTCTCTTTGGATGGGAAATGGGTTTGCTGTCGGAGACTCTCCCACCGCTCCAGGTGAGCCAGTGCTGGGTTGCTAAATTCACCAGAAAGCTTTTGAACTCCCAATGAGCCTGGAAAGCAGAATCAACCCTGACACAGGGTTGTGGAATTCACCTGGAGCAGGAGCTGCAGGTTGTGCCTGGGTTGGGACAATGGCTGGGTGGGGTGGTTGGTCACCCCCAGACTCTGCAGGAGCCAGTGAAGAGGGAGAGACCCCAGACTAAAGATCAGCACAGAGGCTGATGAGCCAGTGACAGTGTTTGGTGTTCCTCTAACGCCCCACAAAGCACACTGGGGCTCCTGCCCTCTCTCCTGCACGTGGGCAGGGAGGTAACAAAGAGCCTTCAGAGGCTCTCGAGGGGCATCCCACACTCCTTCTGGGTCTTGGGGTTCCCACTGTGGGTTTGAGGCAAGTTGGGGCCCACGTCACCGTGCCAGAGCAACACAAACACTGCTGCACCCTTTGGCCACGTGGGTGCTGTGTCTGGGACCCCTGTGGCCCCTGAGCTGGGACTGGCCAAGCTATGGTGGCACTGGGAAGGCTCAGGAGGTTCTCAGGGGAAACTGGGGGTTCTAAGCAGTGCCTGGGAAGGGCACAGGGC